ACATTGATCTTTGGCGTTCGTCGGCCGCCATCTTGCGAAAGACTTGCCTGGTTGGTGCAGTGCAGAAGCAGTATGATTGTTCCAGAAGTATGCCAAACACGCAAGAGTGAAATATTTCAGGTATCAACTTACTAAGAAACTAGGCCTAGAACCTGTTGAAAGTGAGTTTGATTTGATTTTTGAATCTAATTAAATAATAGTGTTGTATTATAATTTTATATAATACGAATTTTCATGTGGGGCGATACTCTAGTTTGTTAAGCAACGATTTCCATGAGATATTCCGAATTTGAATAAAGCTTTTCAGGATATTTTAGTAAATTTTCAGTTGAAAATAAGTTATTACGGAAGATAACTCAAAATGTTCACCGCAGCAACGTTTCGCTTACTTTTTTCTGTTTTGAGGTAAACCTTTTGATTAATGCAGATTTGTTTATATCTGTGTACTCACTTAATATTTAATAACCCGAAAAAAACTAACCCGTTTATAGAGATATTTGGGTTACTAAAGGTTGTTTAAAAAACGAATTTTACAAAACATTATATTGGTCGCTAAACTACAACGTACAGAGGTACAACGTAATGGCTCCTTTGTACCTCTGTAGTGTTCTAATTAATTGATCTATGTTTTGAGATTTGGCCTACGTTAATACCTTTATTCTAAAGGTTTGTAAACTCCAGGAAGTTAATTTTCTACAATGATGGTCTATTGCGTCAAAAGTTTCTCTTTAGTTAACGAAGAGGAAGCTGGTGTGACATAATGTTCTTGCTGTTTAGCTATAATCGAAAAACAGACCTTGGTAAATATAGGTGCGAAATTCTGCTCTCTAACCTCAGTGTAATACAAGAGATGGCTTCTCCGCACTCAGTGACATGGTTTCTTGTAAGAGTGACTTCTATAGTGCAAATATTGTATTGTTTTCAGATTATTTCAAGTGTATATATATATAAAATGAAACATTTACACATGCGCAAAGTTCTCTTAATGCTTATACTAAATACTGACTGGGAAAAGCATTTTTATGAGCACCACAGTTGTGAGAAATTCAACGTATAGTCTGAGAATTGCGACATCGAGTTGAAAAACTACCAAAAGCCAGAAATGAAGAGTAAAAAGAATGGATGCAAGTTTCATGTGTTATATTTGTATAAATAAATTTGTCTCTCTTAGTGAAGACTATAGGTATCTGTTAAATTCATTTTTAAGAAAATAAACTAGAAGAATTAGCCATAGAGAAGTAATAACTTATGTACAAGATTAGTATCTTGAAATATGTGAAAGCATTGTATTGTAGTATTATTATTATTGTATTGTATTTGAAAAGACGGCATAACTCGAGCTATTTGGGAAAGTAGGTCCAATAACCCAAACACCTTTTGAAAGTACACCCATAACCCGAACACCTACTGAAAGTACACCCATAACCCGAACACCTACTGAAAGTACACCCATAACCCGAACACCTACTGAAAGTACACCCATAGCCCGAACACCTACTGAAAGTACACCCATAGCCCGAACACCTACTGAAAGTACACCCATAACCCGAACATCTACTGAAAGTACACCCATAACCCGAACACCTTCTGAAAGTACACCCATAACTCGAACACCTTCTAAAAGTAGACCTAATACCCCTACCACCTTCCGGAGCCTGACTCCATAATCCGAACATTTAGTGAAGGTAAACCCGATAAACCAAGCATCTTCTGGAGATAGACCCGATAACCTTAAATTTTCGCTTTCTTAATTATAAAAATAAGCTAGCCCCCTTATAATCTGTTGATCATTCCTAAAAAAAAACAAATTCTGTAGTCACGTAGTGAAGGTAGGCCCCATAAACCGAATACCTTTTGAAGGTAGACCTAATAACCTTAAACATTAGACACTTTTTCAACCCGTGTCTCTTCGACTCGTTCTGCACTCGAGTAATCACGGAGTTTTATAATATCATTAATCAGTAAGTAAACACTATTGGTTTGTTTGTATATATTGTATATTAGAACGCCTCATGCTAATTCCCACAAGTCTTAATTTCAGATAGTAATTCCGGATCACTCATTTTAAGATCCGAACAACAACTTCAACAGTCAGTTGTAAAAAAAACTGCCTTTAGATCTTAAGAAACGTAGTGGTGCTTGTTTATTCATAACAAATAAGCTAACTCCTTTATAATCTGTTAAATGTTCCTATAAAAATTTGTGTTGACAACTAGGAAGAAGTAGCAGAAAATTACAGTACT